GTGTATGTGTGTGCTGACTGGTAGACTGTAGGCTCCTCAGGGGCAGGGACTGTATCTGTACAGTGGATTATGCCAATTAAGTATAAACGCAGGAAAATGTGTAAACTGTCCGAACTCTTCTAATAGATTACTTCACAAGACGTCCGTTGCTTATTGGAAAGTTCTAACCCCCTCCCCCCATTCTGATAAACTCCAGAAATGTTTCGATTTCTCTCTTAATATTTACATGTAAAACAGTTTTTTTGGAACTGGTCTGGACTGTGAAGTCTGGAGTTGCTCAATATCTGATTGTGGTGTGATCTTTTTTTTCTTCCTTGTTCTAGATGAAGAAATGACCGCTGATGTTGGATCAAACACCCTCTGAGAAGCTGCCCTGACCACAAACACACGATGACCACAGCCGGGCTCGCGGCTCAAGAAGTGTCACTGAAGAGTGGCTTTCTGCATAGTGCGCAAGGCTTGATGTGTGCAAAGTCCTGCTGGGCAAATCATAGCGACTATGATAAGTAAGTACCACTGCCCCCTTCTGTCCGTATAATATACAGAAACGGGCGTCAAATATTAAACTGCAAATTGTTTAAAACATTAACCACTTCCCGACCGGCCGTTGTATATAAACGGCCGGACGGTGGCACTGCAGGGTCGGGTGGTCGTCTATAAACTGCCTCCCCGCACCCTGCTTGTGCGAGCTCCCTGGGAGTGCGCAGCACCGCGATCCGGTGCCCGCTGTGTCCTCCGGACACAGTGAAACACCGATTGTCGGACGGGACCTCTGTACGAGGTCCCGATCATGTGATCACTGATTGGCCAATCAGTGATCACATGCAAAGTAGTAAGCAAGATGTCACTTCTGACATCATTGCTTACTATGCGTGAAATCTGTGAATGATCACAGAGATCACATGGTACAGGGCTATTCAGAAAAGCCTTGTACCATGTGACAAGCTGTGACCAATCACAGCTCACTCAGTTCTTCTCAATGAGTGCAAGAATGCAGACAGAGAGAAGGAGAAATGATTCCTCTTACAGCCTTTATGGGTGTAAAAGCAATCAGTGTAAAAAAAAAAAAAAAAAAAATCTTCATCACCCCTCACAAGTAGTACAGTGTCACCATGGTGACACTGTACTGCTAGGGTGACAGTATGTAAAAAAAAATAAAATAAATAAAAAATAATAATATAAAAAAATAAAATAAAAATGTAAAAAAAAATGTTTAAAAATTATAATTTTTGCTTATAAACTAATTTGGATTTTTTTTTTTTTTTTTACTAAAAAGATAACGGAATAAATTTTGGCTAAGATTTATGATGAAATATTATTTATTTGCAAAAGTTTTTAAAAAAAAACACTTTTTTTCAAAATTTTTGGACATTTCATTTACATAGCAAAAAAAATACAAATCCTAGTGGTGAATAAATACCACCAAAATAAAGCTTTATCTATCTCAAAAAAAATGGTAAAAAATTCATTTGGGTACAGTGTTGCATGACCGCGCAATTGTCATTCAAAGTGTGATAGCGCTAAAAGCTGAAAATTGCCCTGGTCAGGAAGGGGGTAAAAGTGTCCGGTCAGGAAGGGGGTAAAAGTGTCCGGTCTGGAAGGGGGTAAAAGTGTCCGGTCAGGAAGGGGGTAAAAGTGTCCGGTCAGGAAGGGGGTAAAAGTGTCTGGTCAGGAAGGGGGTAAAAGTGTCCGGTCAGGAAGGGGGTAAAAGTGTCCGGTCAGGAAGGGGGTAAAAGTGTCCGGTCAGGAAGGGGGTAAAAGTGTCCGGTCAGGAAGGGGGTAAAAGTGTCCGGTCAGGAAGGGGGTAAAAGTGTCCGGTCAGGAAGGGGGTAAAAGTGTCCGGTCAGGAAGGGGGTAAAAGTGTCCGGTCTGGAAGGGGGTAAAAGTGTCCGGTCAGGAAGAGGGTAAAAGTGTCCGGTCAGGAAGGGGGTAAAAGTGTCCGTCCGGTCTGGAAGGGGGTAAAAGTGTCCGGTCAGGAAGGGGGTAAAAGTGTCCGGTCTGGAAGTGGTTAAAGCCGAACTTCAGGCCAAGTGCTAATGGGGCTGCTTTACACAATACAGTGCAGTATATGTAACCAACCCGCTCTGAGATTTATACACCCCTGCCAGACAGCAGTCAGGTTTGTGACCCCACTTTTCTCTACTGCAGTTAAGCAGCACAGATTGGTCACTTCCCCACCCCCCAGCCTGTGATTGGACATTTAAAGAGCATTAGCAGACTGGTGAAGTCATCACTATCCTCAGTTGCTGAGCCGGCAGGATTCTTCAATAAACTGATCATACCACCACACACCATTATCTCCTCATACCTGCCCCCCATTGCCAGGTCTTGAGTGCTGCTGTGCAGAGGAATAAGTCGAGACCGATTCGGGTACTTGTATTCGTTGAATATAAAAATAGGATTTTTTTTTTGTATTAAATGTTGTATCTGCATGGGGTTCAGCCTTAAAATCAGGTCAAAATGTGTTCAAACTGCAAGAAATGTTCTGTTTGTTTCTTGGTCTTCATTCCTGAATCTTATTACTGAATATAATATGAATTGGTGGACACGACCAGAAACCGTTCTCTCTGGTTTTCAAGCTCTCTGTGATTTAAAACTCATGAAGGTACCTTCCATCCCTTGGGGACTCCAGTGGAGAGATCTCCCAAAGCCAAGTGGTTTTTGTATCTCTAAAAAATCTCTCATTTAGAATGTTTCATTGTATGGTCGTGCTGCAATACCATGTTTTACCAGCAGATGCTGCGGTTTTTGATCTTTAATTGTTACTGGTAAGCTATGTAGTACCCAGCTCAGACCACAAACAGTTCATGTTTTGTATATAACCCAGGGGCGGACTGACAACTCATGGGGCCCCTGGGCAATAGGGGATCATGGGGCCCCTGTGTCCTTGCCCCAAACTCAAAAAAGCCTATGAAAAAGGTACCAGGGGCATCTCATGGGGCCCCCTACTGACCCCGGGCCCTCGGGCAGTGCCCGAGTTTCCAAATGGTCAGTCCACCCCTGATATAACTCGATGACATGGAACACTGGGACGTATACTGTAATTCCATTCTGTTGATGGTGTGTTTTACAAATGCAAAATAAACCTCAACAACAAGGTTGGTCACATGGGATAATTTGTCTCTTTTTTTCCTGGTAGTTCTACTTTATGTATATTTATCATTCATTCAATAAACAAAACTGATAACCTTTCTCTATTTTTCTTGTAGCACGTTCTATAGTAGGGAGCCTTTGTCCTTACCCTACAGTATGAAATCTCCCGCACAACAGCAAATTTCATCTCTTGGTAAGCAGTGGTAATAATTATCCATTTGTGATGTTGCTGAATATTTAAAACTGCGGGTTTTCCAATGCTGAAAAAATCCTGGGCCTGATTAATTGAAGCCAAGATGGCTCCCTCCCAGGGGTGTCCTCTGTCCCCCCCGTAACTCAGTCCATCAGGACCACGGTCCACCATTTAGTGATCTCTGAGCAGAGCCTTGGTTGGGTTCCTATTGCTGTCTGTTTGGGGAAATGTATCTTGCCTTACCTTCCTGGCAAGCCTTGTAAGGGAGGGACAGGATTTGTTGGGGACAGGAAATTGAAAGAAACCTCTTCCAAAGGTGACACAGCAATAGGAGGTTTGGACGCAAGGATCTCCCCCTTCGCCTACTCTGCTCAATACATAGAAATAGATGAGTTAGTTGTGTTTTAGGTTAGATGGCATTTCGTTCTAGTAAGCCATTTCTAGTTTGTAAGTGACAATAACAAAGTCCTAAACCAATCTAATGTTGTCTCCTTTATGTATTTCAGGTCAGATTTCAAAGCCGTTTATGGCGAACGGACACTGTTGCTCTGAAAATTGCATGAAGGCTAAAAAAAAAACGAACTTTCTTCATGTTGGTTTGCCCATCATAGAGCATTCTACAAACTGTGAAGATGACCAAGTTGTTCCTTCCTTTAAAAATCTATCAATGAATGGCTGTTCTGGTTCGGAAAGGACCCCTCCTCTGACACCTGTTAAAAGTGGACCACCGCCACCTTATACCATTCCTTCTAGTGATCGGAGCTCGAGGCCTCTTCCGCCACTTCCAATTTGCGAGGACAGTTCTTTGGATGATGCAGATAGCGAGGTCGAGTTCCTCACCAGTTCTGATACAGACTTGCTTATACAAGATGGAAGACCTTTGGCATTCAAGTATGGGGTTCCAAGCAGGAGAAGTTTCCGAGGATGTGGACAGATCAACTATGCCTACTTTGACTCTACATCTGCCACCAAACCAGCAGATGACAGCGCGCCGTGTCAACACCATGCACGCACACAGAACTTGAAACCTCAGAAACCAGAGCCAAACCACCGAAGGCTACGAAGGTCTCATTCGGGACCAGCTGGATCATATAATAAACCTACAATTCGGGTACACACAAATAGGACTTCCCCTAATTCAGATGAAGACAAACCTGTAGTACCACCAAGGATCCCAATACCTCCTAGGCCTATAAAGCCGGATTACAGAAGGTGGTCAGCTGAAGTTTCTTCAAATACGTACAGCGATGAGGATCGACCTCCCAAGGTACCACCCAGGGAACCTCTTTCCAGGAGCAACTCTCGGACCCCAAGTCCTAAGAGTCTTCCTTCATACCTCAACGGCGTCATGCCCCCAACACAAAGTTTTGCACCTGACCCCGCCTATGTCAGCACTAAAGTTTTTCAAAGACAGAACAGTGAAGGATCTGCCAACAAGATCCCTTGCATCTTACCCATTATAGAAAATGGGAAGAAGGTTAGTTCCACACATTATTACCTTTTACCAGAGAAGCCGCCATACTTTGTCCGGTACGAAAAATATTTTACAGAGTCCAAGGACGCTGGCTCAGAATCTAAAGTGCCATCGTGGTCTAGTGACAGTAGCTCATGTTCGTCGTCGTCTCCAAAGGCCGAGGTGAAGGCCAAAGTGGACATGAACTATGCCAAGCGTAAGCACCTCTCTGATGCAGTTTCTCCTTGTGTAGGTGAATAGGTCATTATCCAGATGCAAGATGTTACGCAAAACGTCAGGACTTTCTTGGTTGGTTTGGAGGCAACGCGAGGAGAACGAAAGAACTGAATGCTCAATAAAAGAAATGAATATATTTTCTTAACATTTTAAGTGATCCTTCCCAGTTTCTATGAAGCAAAAAAAAAAAAAACTAAAGAGATATGGAGCCCATTGTTGAGTCTCCTTATTATAATGTGAGAGGTACTCTTCATTCTGTTAATAGGATTACAGGGCAAGCCACCCCGGGCAGCCATTGTTGGACTATTTCTTGCAGAATAAGTGCCGTTACAAGGTGAACGAGTTGCAGGGGTTTGCGTACTGCTGATGGGTATTGGACGGTGAGCTTGTTTTAGGAAGAATTGTGCAGTATTTGTGCATCCTGTTTGGGTTTTTGTTTTGTTTTTTTTTTTTTGCTTGTCCTCTGTGCCTGATCTTCATTGCTCCAATCTGTCTCACTTGTCTTGTACTCGGCTCAAACTCGTCAAGCTGCTAGCAATCAGTTTTACTAGATTAGAAACCTGACAGATTCCTGTTTTTCTGGTTCTAGAAGATACTAAAAAGCACAAGGCAGCGGAATGTCCTGGTCTTTCGGGACTGGAAGTGTTTTTAAACCAAGAAAAGTGTACCTGTTGGCGGTACATCATTGGGGCACTCCTTTTGGGTGGGCGCGGACGGGGATTTTCACCGTTTTTATAATAAAAGGCATGGCAGTGAAACCATCAGCTTGGTAAATTGCAGTCATTATGTCGGATGTTCCCTTTGGACCTGTCCATTGAACAGTGGAGGTAGCACTGTGACTATGTCCATGGTACAGTACCCCATGGAAGACTGCTGTCACTTTAACCAGACACATTATCATGGGTTACTCTACCCAATCATTGTTCCTCCTTACCAACTAGAAGAATTTCATGAATGCATGCATGGTCATTTAATATGTATAGTAGAGGCCTGCACTCATCTCCCTAAATTGAAGGCTTGTTGGCCTCTATGAGTTATTGGAACTTTCTCATTGCTGTTTGTACTACTTTATTGCCTAAACACAAAAGCCCCCTTTTGATGCGTTGGCCACCCATTGATTTCAATGGGCTGTCTTAAAATAGAATTCCAGGCTATACCTTACTAATCCTTAAAATGCCCCCCTCCCCCCAACACTTGTGTAAGGAAGATGTGTATGTTTGGCTGTTCTCAGCCCGCTCCAGTCTGGTTACGTGATCAGGCTCCGTTGTGTCAACCAGCGGCGGCTGCAAGGTTGAGGAGGGAGCGGTGACAACGGATGGGTCATTGAAGCCTATAGGTGATGTTGTCACTCCTAGGCATTACCAGCCGTTGTAAAGCACTCTCTCCTCTCCATGACCAGTTCAGCTTGTAGGGCCACTCAAAGCCTGGAGATTTGAGAACCCCGGCGGTAGCAGAAGTGTGAGCCGGCGTCCTCGATTCAGAGACAATGAGAGTAGGAGGACGGACGCCGCATCGGCCTCCCCAATAGGAATAATAGGAATATACACCTAGATTAGGGAAATCTGAGGCTGCAATCATCCTAATATCAAGAATATACAAAGATAAGCTCTCTACTAGTGGGGACTTTTAGTGCAGCAGAATGTTCACACCAATATTTTGCATTTATATAAAAATATAGCTTTATTCCAAATGAGATTAAAAAACATAAAATACAAATTGTGCAAAAATGACAGGCGATCAATTGAGGAGAAATACAACCATAGTGACTAATGGCCAAATCCAAGAAGAGAGAGCCAACTCAACACCCAATAGGAATACCGGTGGTGGCCTCAGCTGTCTCTCCAGCCACACTGTGACGGCTGAGGCCACCATCATTGTTCCTATTGGGGAGGTTGATGCGGCATCCTTTTCTAATCTCTCCTCTCCCCTGCAGCCAGCACTGGCTGACACAAGAGATCACATGACTGGCGTGGGGCTGCCTGAATATAGGCAAGTATACACCTCTTTCTTAGTGAATACTATGTAAGGAGCTGGTTGTTTCCTTGCCCTGGCCTGGGCTAGCCATAGACATGAGATAGTGACTGGAACCGCTGAAAGATCTTTCCATAAACCTTCACAATTGTTTGGCCAGACATGTATTTATGCAGTAAATGGACACCATCGGTGCTGGCCTTATACCAGACAAACAGCCAACATACAGAGGGACATCCTCTTTAGATATTCCATCTTTCCCAATTTTCTGGTCAGGGGACGTCTTCAGCAATCCGAGTGTCCACACGCTGGGTTGGAGGATCAAAGTGCAGTCATCTCATATCTATGGGTACAGTTGGATTTTGTGAATATGCAACTTGTCAATGTTCCAACAGCACCCTGCTAGCCGGTAATGTCACCACTTCCCATGGATCTAATTGGCCAACATATGTCATTATTAACGGTTCTGCCTCCATTTTGTGTGGACAACATATGAACACTTCCATACATTCATGTCAGTCCAATAAAGGGCGATGACCCCGGTGTTCCCCCCACGTTGTGAAATGTTCCTTTTAGATTGCCAGTACATCCCTATGTCTCCGTTCTCCTTGACCTTCTCGTTTTCTAGCATGTTCTAAACATATCTGAAACACAAGCTGGTCTTGTTTATTCAGTATTTTTATGTCTTTTTAAGCTTTGAAAAACACAATAAGTCTTGGTTGGGCGTCATGGTTGAAAGGGCCCCGAAAGGCCTGCCGGTGTTATCTTTAGCAACCTGTGGATTTTGCTCTCTGAATTTCCAGTCTGTTCGAGGAAAGAGGAGAAGCTGCTTGAATGTTCTGTCGGAGTTCTCTCTAGCACATTGGTTTCCTCCGACGTTCGTGTATCTACAGTTCATGGAAGGGAGATGCCTGTTTGCTAAGAGAAACACAAAATGGCCATTTCAGAATCTTCCAACCATTGAGGCCCTCCATGGTCTACACGTGGCATTGACTTTCTGGGTGAATGTGCCATGGAATTGAATTGTTTGCCAAGGTCATTACTGGAGTTGGTGTGTGTGCCGGGTCTATAGTATGTCTGTATACTTTGTGTGTGGCTACATGTACACTTTTTCTTTTTTTTTTTTATCACATGCTTGTGATAGACCACTTACATTTTAGGGTCAGAGCTTTGTTTTGGTTGTTTTTGTTTTGTCTTTTTATTTTTAAAGGTTAAGATATTAATATAAGAAATCTAATACCATTCCTCACAATAAAACTCTTTAATTAGGATGGAATATTACTCGGGGTGGGGGGCTGACACATGAAATGGGTACTTTTTCTAAAAAGAATCTGCTTGGCCTCTTCTATGGATATCAATGGCCTAGCAATGGGGCTTTTTATTTACTATAGTCATTTGCAGGGGTGGACTGACCACTCGGGCACTCGGGCAATGCCCGAGGGCCCGGGGTCAGTAGAGTGCCCCATGAGATCCCCATAGTACCTTTTTCATAGGCTTTTTTTTGAGTGTGGGTGAGGACACAGGGGCCCCATGATCCCCTATTGCCTGGGGGCCCCATGAGTTGTCAGTCCGCCCCTGGTCGTATGGCTTGTCCAGTTTAGCAATCACCTGGCAAGGTAGCCAGTCATACAGACAGAACGATTTTCAAGAAGAATGAGACTTCGGGGTTGATTTAAGGGAAGCGAACATGATGTTCATCTTCACAGTAGCCGGCACTGCACCCCCCTTCAATGCACCCCAATGCATCATCACAGTAGCTGGCAATGCACCCCCCTTCAATGCACCCCAATGCATCATCACAGTAGCCGGAACTGCAATCCCCTTCAATGCACCCCAATGCATCATCACAGTAGCTGGCAATGCACCCCCCTTCAATGCACCCCAATGCATCATCACAGTAGCCGGAACTGCACCCCCCTTCAATGCACCCCAATGCATCATCACAGTAGCCGGCACTGCACCCCCCTTCAATGCACCCCAATGCATCATCACAGTAGCCGGAAATGCACCCCCATCAATGCACCCCAATGCATCATCACAGTAGCCGGCACTGCACCCCCCTTCAATACATCCCAATGCATCATCACAGTAGCCGGCACTGCACCCCCCTTCATTGCACCCCAACGCATCATCACAGTAGCCGGCACTGCACCCCCCTTCAATACATCCCAATGCATCATCACAGTAGCCGGCACTGCACCCCCCTTCATTGCACCCCAATGCATCATCACAGTAGCCGGCACTGCACCCCCCTTCAATACATCCCAATGCATCATCACAGTAGCCGGCACTGCACCCCCCTTCATTGCACCCCAATGCATCATCACAGTAGCCGGCACTGCACCCCCCTTCAATACATCCCAATGCATCATCACAGTAGCCGGCACTGCACCCCCCTTCATTGCACCCCAATGCATCATCACAGTAGCCAGCACTGCACCCCCCTTCAATGCACCCCAATGCATCATCACAGTAGCCGGCACTGCACCCCCCTTCAATACATCCCAATGCATCATCACAGTAGCCAGCACTGCACCCCCCTTCAATGCATCATCACAGTAGCCGGCACTGCACCCCCCTTCATTGCACCCCAATGCATCATCACAGTAGCCAGCACTGCACCCCCCTTCAATTCATCATCACAGTAGCCGGCAATGCACCCCCCTTCAATGCATCATCACAGTAGCCGGCACTGCACCCCCCTTCAATGCATCATCACAGTAGCCGGCACTGCACCCCCCTTCATTGCACCCCAATGCTGTGGCTGAGTTATTCCGGCCTCCTATTATAATGTATTGTATTGATGCAACACGTAGGAGGTGTTTACTAAAACTTGAGAGTGCAAAATCTGGTGCAACTCTGAATAGAAACCAATCAGCTTCCAGCTTTTATTGCCAAAGCTTCATTGAACAATCTGAAGGTAGAAGCTGATTGGCTGCCATGCACGGCTGCACCAGATTTGGATTGCTCCAGTTTTAGTAAATCCCCTCTGCAGTATGGATGGACCTTTGGCATAATATGAATGGGCCCTTGGCGTCCTCGGTGCATATGTC